TCCTTGGGGGTTCATTTTTCAAAATGTCCACAGGATACAAACAATCCAAAGATTTCACTGGGCCAGTGAAAGCCACTTTGTTACTAACTGGGCAGAAAAGAGCCAAGGGGCCACAAAGTTTGTCCTTTGTCAACCATGTGATGGAAGTAAAAGTTTGAACATCCAAAGTTTACAACACACTGGACATTGAGAGAAAAGTCTGTTAGAGAGGTAAATTATGTGAAGTGAAGACAAATGCCTGAGCAGCAGCGATCCACTCACCCCGACAAGGACCTCAAACACATCAGTGCGCCAGATCGCCTGCCAGCCAGCGGGCTCAAGGACCTTCTCCAGGTACTCAGCTATGAACCGCTTCACCTCAGAAGCTTTGCAGTCAGCTACAAAGAAATTGAAGATGTTACATTTAAGCAAGGAAGAAAAGTCCTCCAGATCACTGGAAAATGAAAGTCAACACAACTGAAATGTTCCTCTACCACCTCTGAAGTGGGACTTTGTTTTGTTATGCTCATGATAATCATCAGCATTTTTGCTGGTTTGTGCTCCTCTAAAAGACATCCAGAATTCAGCCTTCCAGACACTGAAGGTTTCAGTGCCAATGGTATTAAACACATAACCTGTGCCTTATCTTAAACAGATTTACAATACACAAAAAAAATGTAGGAAGACCTGCTAAAACAAGGCACAGAATCTACTGGTTACTAACAGTTCTGCCTTTCCATCACTCACATTTTATTTACTTATATCAAAATTACTGCCTCCTGGTCCACCAGCTAGAGCAGCTGAGGTTACAGCATGAAGTGATGACAAAAAACTGGATTTTTTCCACCCCCCATTATTACAAGCATCTCACAGCTTATACATATATAATATATATGTATATGTATTTAATATATATGTATATAATATATATAGGCATATAATATATAATAGATACAATTAAACCGAGTTGTTTAAAAACACTACAAGCAAACTAACATGCCCTTATTTTCCTATGAAAAAAATTACTTACCCAAGATGTAATCCTGGTAAGCTCTGAATCGCTCGTAAAACAGAAGATGATTGGTATGAAAAATATCTGGGAAAAGCACGTTCCCGTCTGGCACAGTCCTTCCCAAAGTAGTCCCTGGTTTGTCACGACTGCCATAGTCACTCCAGGAGTCAGCACTCCAATCGCTCTCGGCATCTTCCCGCTGCACACCTGCGAAGAGGAGCAGGAGTAAAGCAAACCCCACAGATTGTCACTTCAAACACTCACTCGCTCCTCCACTCCCAAAGAGCTCCTGTTCAGCCCAAGGTCTATCATGAACCTGCCTTCTAGGGCACATCTTCATTTACCCTTGGTGAAGCGTTTCCAACACACATACGTTCCTGGACGCCCATTCCAGCGCCCGTGGTAAGCACCGAGAAACGCACCAGAATGTCACGATTAAAAGGAAAAAACAAAATAAAATAAAATAAAAAATTTTTAAAAAAATCACATTTTAGCGTTGATTTCCAGAGCCATCCCTACCGTGCCCTCGTTTCCAGCCCAGTGCCCACGCCCCGAGCCGGGTGGCGGCTGCGAGGGCCGTCCTGTCAAGCGGGGGATCCGAAGGGCGGCGGAGCAGCCCCGA